GAGCACGCAGCATCGCATTTTCAAAGAAAGGTGACCTGCTATGACTGAAACTAAAGGTTCTGAAGAGAAGCTGGTGGGCAGGAAGGCTGAAATGGCAGGCTGAGGTCAAAGCGGCAGACATTGAATTCATTTCAGTTCCGCCAATTTGCTGTTTAGTTAGTGATGCGTTAGGCTTGAAGATACAAAGATGAATAAGACACAGTAGTATGCCGTCCTGCAGCAATGGGGAGCCACGTATGGCTTCTGAGCAGGGTAAGGACATGAGCACGTTATAGAGATCAGAATGCAGCAGTGGTTACAAGTATAGCCTCCAGCACCAAATGGCTTGGAATCAAATCCTGCTGTGTCACGATCTAGCTATGTGACCAGAGCCAGTGTACCCCTGCGGCTTAATTTTCTTATGGGTAAAGATGATGATAATAACAGTGGCTCTCTTGCCTTTCTTGTGAGGATTAACATTTGTAGCGTGGAGTCTGGTACTCAATACATGTTGGCTATTAACATGCAACGTGTTGAGGGAAGCAATGTCAGTACATGGAACATTTTCAATGATTGTTAGGTTTCTCATTTTGTTTTTAAGAAAGATGATTTATTGGCAGCAGTGTAGATATAATCATTTCAAGGAGGAGACAATGGGCACAGGCACACCAACTTGGAAGCTACGGCAATCGTTGTGGCAAGGGGAATGGCACACAGAAAATTAGGTTAGAGCAGAGATAGGTGGTGGAACAGATTGGAGGATGTAGAGGGGCTGCAGAATATTTTTTGGAATGAAAGAAAGTGGGTTTAATTATTGGGTCTGTTGAGCTTACGGTGCCTGAGGAAAATCTCTGTTTGATAATGTTTAGCTGAAACAATAAAGAGTCATGTAAGTTTAGGACACGGGGGTGAGTGAAATAGAGATTTGTACTATGGAAATGTGGGTGTGCACGTTAACAAACAGCCGAGAATTTGCATTGAGCCTACCACTCACCTATTACACTGGTAAAGAATAAATGACCATGTTTTATACCTGTGTACTCTTATGCATTGCTGGCAGGGATGTACATTTGTACAACTTTGCTGGAAAACAGGTCGGCGATATTTGTCATGAGCCTTACAGATACTTGTATCCTCTGACCCAGTGATTTCACTTTTTGGAGTCAATGCCAACTTTATGATCCAAACACAGACAATTATTATATATAGAGCTGCTCACCACAACATAACATTCAATTGAAAAAAATAAAACCTTCAAACAGGCTCACTCAGTGATAGGAAAATGGTTAAATAATAATGATGTGTTCATATGCTAGAATATTATACAGCCATTAAAAATCATGTTGACTGAGACTCCTACTGTGAATTGCTGTAAGGGAGAAAAATCCAATGAGGATACACAATTATATATAGAATATGAGTTTGACTCTGTTAAAAGATAACATAGTATAAGGATTAGAAGACAATATACTAAGACGTTCATATTATTATTTCTGTTTGGGAAATGGAGGCATGGGTTGGTACTTGTTGAAGTCTAGTAACTGAGTTTGACTTATGACTATATAATAGGTTTTTGGCTTACTTAAAGTTTCTTTTCCTTCTTTTCCTAATGCATCTGGTAATATTTAGTTACTAACACAGTAATAATCTTTGGCTCACAGATCAAAATTCAAATGGCAATTTCTATTACAAATCTTGACCATGTTGCCTTTTTATTTTTGAGACAGCATCTCACTCTTCCATCCAGGTTGGAGTGCAGTGGTGCAATCATAGCTCACTGCAGCCTCAAATATCTGGGCTCAAGCAATCTTCCTGCCTCAGCCTCCCAAGTACCTAGGACTACAGGCATGTACTACTATGTCTGACTAATTTTTGTATTTTTTTTTTTTTTTGGTAGAGATGGGATCTCACAAAAAGAATACAAAAATTTGTATTTTTTTGTGTTTTCATTGCCCAGGCTGGTCTTGAACTCCTGGCCTCAATTGATCCTCCTGCCTTGGCCTCTCAAAGTGCTGGGATTACAGGCATGAGACACCACGTTTTGTTTTTAATGGATGCAGTCCATCAAAGGCCCAGAACCTCAAACTTCATTTTTGAGTTAATGTCATGTCATTGTACAATTTTGAATGTGCCACCGGACCACTGAAGATGTTTCCTTCCCTCCTGGCTTACTGACACAATTATCCACTTGCATTTAGAGGGACATAATTTTTACACAAGGGGCTCCTTGTGTATGTCAAAGACAGAAGATTAGAACAATACACCATCATTGAGAGGGTAATTTATCGAAAGTCCTAACTTCAGCTGCACAGCGAAGCAGCTAAAAGAAATCCAATGACCCTCGGAAGCACCCCTGATAGAGAGCTGTTGGGTGTGAAGGATCCATCCATAAGTCGCCAGAATTGGATGGCAAATATTCTAGAGCTGATGATCTCCCGGATCATGCTGCCATAACTGCCTTCAAGATGTTAATACTGAACAAGGCATGTTGTTTCAGGACTGCAGGAGGAGCAATCTCTCTTCCCAACCCCTCCCCACCTCCCCACCCACACACATGCACATGCACACAAGCACATTTTGATATCCAGCCCAGTCCCATTTCTCTTGCGGAGACTGACCTTGATAGAAAAACTATTTTGTTTTTGTTTTTTATTATAGAAGGCAAGTTTCTATTTACTCTGTAGAAATAGATAAAAGGCTACTGAAGAAGTGATGAACTTCATCGTGATTATGAAGTGAGCAAAAATACTTATACTAAAGTTTAAATACTTATTTGCTTATACTATAGTATAAGTAAGCCAAAAATCGATTAGCTGGTCCTAATTCAAATTCATTTACTAAACTTCAATAAATTACCAACCCATGCCTCAGTTTCCCAATATTTCCCAGGGCTATATGGCCTGTGGACAGAATTTACCATCATTCTGAGCTTTTAGGACCTTTTTGACACTCTAGGTCAAACTTGGGGAATTTTCCTTTTCAGGAGTCCCAACTACTCAAGGCAGAAGCCAGCAAACTCTCTTGCCCTGCCTTCCTAAGATTCTTACAGGGTGCAGGCATATGAACTGTGGGAACTGACGACCAGTCACACCCTGTTGGGACTCTGGCTCGGGAGTGAGAGATGGGGAGGCAGGCGCAATTTTCTCAACAGGAGATGGTCGTAGCAGGCTGAGGAGCTTAGATTTGAGGGTAGCAGGATGGTGGAGTCTTTCCTGGATAACTCTACAGACTGATTTGGGCATTTGTTCCTGGTGGGATAACCTCTAAATCCAACTCTCTGGTCCGAAAGTAGGCACTGAAGGAAAAGCATCCAGCATCGGGTAAGAGAACATGACTTGATAAGCATCAAGTAAAGCTTCAACTAGTTTCAGTGTCATCTATGAATATTTCCAGCCTCTATATTGGACAGTGCTTTTTTGGAAAGAAAGAAAAGTATCCTTGCCTTTGAGTAGGCCTTCCAGTCAACGGCTTCGTTCAACATTATTCCATCATGCTTTGGGAAAACAATTCCTTTGACGGGGGGTCCCCCACCTCCCCATTCATTTCTCCATGTTTAAAGATATCTGCATATACTACCCAAAGTTTAATCAGGAAATACTAAAACAAATGTAATATTGAGCATATTCATGTAATGGAATTCTATATAGCAGTAAAAATGGAAAAACCATGGTTTTACTAACAATGACGACTCTTACAAACATAAATTTCAACAAAAGGAGCCAGACACAAAATCTACGTACTGTATGAACCCATTTGCAGAAAGCTAAGATGACAAGCAAAAGCACACTATGGTGTGATTAATCAGGATTCTGATACATTCACAGAGGCATGAGCACAGTGGCTTCTGGGATGCTGATAATGTGCGATTTCTTAATCTGGGTGGTGGATACATCAGGGTATCAGCTTGTGAGAACTGTTACACTAATGATTTGCACACTTTTCTGTTAGTATTTTGCACTTTACTAAAAAGTGTTTTTCCTTGATTTGCCTGTTTTTAAACTTCATATTTCTTACCAATATTCAATCTTGCACAACTTATATTGTTTTACAAAGCTATCTACTACAATTGCTAGACCTTGATTTATTTATTTTTTTATATTTAAAGAAAAATTCCTGGCTGGATGCAGTGGCTCATGCCTGTAAGCCCAGCACTTGGGAGGCTGAGGTGGGTAGATCACTTTAGTTCAGGAGTTTGAGACCAGCCTGGCCAACATGGTGAAACCCCGTCTCCACTAAACATACAAAAATTAGCTGGGTGTGGTGGCGGATGCCCGTAATTCCAGCTACTTAGGAGGCTGAGGCAGGAGAATCGCTTGACTCTGGGAGGGGGAGGTTGCAGTGAGCTAAGATTGCGCCACTGCACTCCAGCCTGGGTGACACAGAGAGACTTCGTCTCAAAAAAAAAAAAAAAAAAAAAGGTAAAGAAAAATACCAATACACAGGGAATTCTAAGCACATAAAAATTACCTAAGGATTATTTTTCAATTTATTGAAATGAAACCAAAGATGGGCTTGCCATGGTTAACTAGAGTCTTTCTCAAAAGAAAGATTTCAATCTGGTGTATGTTTAGGAGGCTTGTACACTCTCAGCTTCTCAGTTAAGTCTCTCCCAAGACTCTTTTCTCTGACTACACATTGAGCCTCCAAACCATGACTGAAAAACCACAGCTTCATGGACAGGGCCCTGTGCAGGACACCCTATTTGCAAATGAACAAGAAATGGAAGTGAGATTAAAAAATATTTACGCCTCAGCTTAATTAGGAAGGGATAGAAAAGAATTCTAACATAAATTCTACTAAAAATACAAAAACTAAGGCTGTACAATCGGAGGAGGAAATGTCAACCGGAGGACTTGCAGATGAATCCACCACCCAGGGCAAAAGAAACTTCAAAAAAAAAAAAAATAAAGTAAATTCATATTATTTAATGCAAACTAGCTGTCAGGGAGAAAGTAGTGATGAGAGAAACGAAAGGAACGAAGACACCACAGAGATGCACATCAAACTGGAAGCAGACAAAGGCAGCCAGAACTATCTTATTTATTATAAAGATACACCGTGAAGAACAAACCTGACTGTATACTGAAGCCTGTAATGGTACATGCCAAAATGTACAGTACTATACATAAAAGTGCATTGTCACAACAGATTAACAAAACATTTTTTTCTTTCCAGAACTGTAAAAGTATCCCCCTTTATTTTCACCTCAGAGAGGAGGGAATGAAATGGTGAGAGGCAGTACAGAGCACGGGCGAGCGTGATGCTGTCAGCAGCACATAAGCGGGGGATGGATGCAGTGGGATGGGAGGACACAGGGGTGAGAAAGGCACAATCACATCTACAAGGAAAACGAGACAGTCTGAGGACCGACAGGGATGCAAGATGGGACACTATTGAGTACTGAGGCACAGGAGGGAGGGGATGGAGAAGGTGGGGGAGAGGGAGGAAGCTTCAAAACACTGGAGTGGGCAGCAGGAATTGGAAGGAGGAGGTGGAGGTGGGGCACAGAGTGGGGCAACGGTACAAGAGCAAGGCTAAGACTCCTCTAAAATAGAAAGGCACTTTCACATGTACATACTACAGATGTACATTGACACAATTAGGTAACAGTCACAAGCAGGAAGCTACCGGTACTGCAATTGATCAAACCGACAGGAAAGGACAATACTGATTTAATTACGCGGGCAGCAGTTACCCTTCAGTACGTAGGTAAACAGTAGCCTCTCCTGTTACACAGCCACTTACTATACTTTAAATATCTATAATAACCATCACACTACACACTGAACTTGGATGAATGCTCTAAGGGGGGCATTCACAAATGCACAGTTCATATATTTTCTTTTACTAAAGTTTCTAAGATAAGCATTATGGAAACCAGTACAATTATTTAAACATACAAAATTCCCTACGTAATTTAAAGACACAGGTATCCATCTCGATTATACCACATAGACTTTTTTTTTTTTCTTTTCACTTTTTAAAGAAAGTATACTGGGTTAAGTGAAAGCTCAAATTCCAGTTTGCTTTGTGGATCTGACAAAACTTCGCTAAAGTCACCCTGCACCAAGCCTGACTCTCCAGCCCAGCTGGAGCTTGTGTTCTCAGCTTGGGAGGTGGGTGGCAGGTGGTCTGGAGTAGGGAGCTCTGTTTACGCATGGGTAGAGCCTTCTAAGCTGCTCTGTGTCTCAGGGTTTCTGTGGTGGATAATCGAAAACAAGACTGAGTCCCACATTTCCTGCACAAAAAATGGCCTCTCACTGCTATGGTCAGGAATCAATGAGCATCATCCCAAATTTGAATCCTCTAACTCCCCCTCAAGAGACCCATAGGCTCTTTAACTGGATTTCCAAGGCTGATCAGATGAAAGTTTCTTCAGTTTGTAGACTCCAGAGGCTATGTCATTCCTAAATGTTAAGGACACAACTACCAACCCACCCCCCTTTTCCTTTTCTTTAAATTATAACCGCCCCCGCTTTTTGGTGGGGGAGAATAGCAAAAGTTGGAAAACCCTTAACTGATACAATTTGACTCTTGGAGCAGTACATCCACTGATAGCTGTTCACGATCATTGCAGTAGATTGTGGGACCCTGCCATAAATTATTCTACAGGTGGCTCGAGGGACACCAAAGCCAGATTATGTTGTACGAAGATGTGCTAATCTGTTGAATGGTGCTGACACTGAATGTGAACATGGAGCTCTACAAAGCGCCACTCAGCAGGTTCAAACAGTTCACATAACACCCATTAGAAAATGTGTACTAAGTACCTTTCTCTCTATCCCCAAATCCACTCCCCAAACCCCAACCCCGTCCAAAAGGCTGACTTGGTGAATCTCCTTCAGTGAGTTCTATGGATGGGATGTGAACACACAGTTTTATCAGCTGTGAATACATATTCTTGTGTAAGTGGAGTCAGGTAATCTTTGTAGAGCCATCATTTACCCACCATCAAAATGCCCCCCTCCCCACATTGCCCATGAAACCTGATAAGCTCCTTGAAACTGGGGGCAGAACACCTCAAGGCTTCATTCTCCTCGTTCTCTCTCGTTTCCCTGTGTCTTCCCACCTCCCCTGTGTGCTGCCTCTGTCGCTGGAAAGAAGGCTGTGAACATTCTCAGCTGCAGTGGCTCTTAATGAGCTTTACTGAGCATGATTCTGGATTCTTTGTGAAGTGGCCACCTTGTCTTACCTCTGGAATCTGAAGACATTTACTAAACCAAGTAAGGAGAGGTGACTCTTTACTGAGTCCTCACTCACTGAGGTTATACCCTTCATATGGAATTGGAAAAAAAAAAAAAGTCTCAAGGTGACAATAGGAGTATAGGGAAATAAGATGGAGACAGGTAGAGTGAGTGATGGGAGAGTATTAGGAGCTGTTTCCTGAAAGAAGGCACAGCCTCTGAGGCTCTGCAGCAGCACGACTCCTGCCCGCCAAGACAGCAGAGTCCTGATGGGGAGCACAGAAAGGCGATCCTCATTCCACCACAGGTGGACACACCAGAGAGAAGAGCTGCTGGGGAGGATGACCAGATAGAAGGCTGCATAAATGAACAGGCAGGAGGAAGATCTGAAGAGCTCAGAAAAGACACTGAAAAAAAATAAATTCAAAGACACCTCTGGCCCTTTGATGCCCTCTGTTAACATCTTACTCTTCCATCAAGCAAGGAATATGGTTTTTAAGAATTCTTACTATTTTAAAGAAGTGGGGGAATGGCCGGGCATGGTGGCTCACATTGTAATCCCAGCACTTTTGGAGGCTGAGGCCATTGGATCACCTGAGGTCAGGAGTTTGAGACCAGTCTGGCCAACATGGTGAAACCCCGTCTCTACTAAAAATACAAAAATTAGCTGGGCATGGTGGCGGCACCTATAATCCCAGCTACTCAGGAGAACTGCTTGAACCCAGGAGATGGAGGTTACAGTGAGCAGAGGTTGCAGTGAGCAGAGATTGCACCACTGTACTCTGGCCCGGGTGACAGAGCAAGACTCCAACTCAAAAAAAAAAAAAAAAAAAAAAAAAAAAAAAAAAAAGGGGGGGATTATTTAGGAAAGTTTAAACTTCCTAAGGAATTCGTAAGGATTGTTTAAAAGGGCTAGTGCTATTCAAAGCTCAGTCCCGGCTGGATCTCCATGGTGTCCAAGGGTGCTGAAGGACCCAAAAAGCTCGGGGGAAACGGGGAGGGGCTGGACAAGGTACTGTCCTGGGCTTCTTTTTCAAAATGGGCAAAAAGTATGGCTCTGAAAATTTGGAGGTTTAAAAGTTCACCATACCTAGAAATACATGGGAAAAAAAATCACTATTCATTTGTGAAATCAGGCCACAGGCAAGCAATCAGCAGTGTGACTTTGGAAGGTAACAGTATCTCATCGATTTAACCTCTTCCTGCAATAGAATGACTAGATGGGCAAACTGAGGTAGAGATCAAAGTAATGATCTTGATTTAAGTACAGATCCCAATTCATTTCTGCACGATGCATTCACCAATGGGCTGATGAAGTAAAATCTACACTGTGTAGCTCTTAGGTGTGCGTGCAATTGGCTGCCAGTTTGAAATGAAACCAAGAAGGAAATTAATGGTGGGCCAGAGAGATTAGTTCTGGGAAATCCATTTTTCTCAACAACAACAACAACAACAACAACAAAAATATCAGTAACTTCAATGATAGAGTCGATAAAATGCTCACAGGTCTACAGGTGATATCAGCTGCTGCTAGTAGGAGAATGGAATTCAAAGCAAATTTTCTTAAGATAGGGGGAAGATATAGCATAAATATAGGCTTAAAAATTGTCTGTGTGCTAGGATGCCAGAGAAAGAGCGTCTCCAATTGAGACTTCTGCTGACTATGGGAGTGATATAAAGACCACATACAAAAACGAAAACAAAAAAGGGAAAAGGGACAGAGAAAAAGAAGTTGTGGTTGTGAGGTACACAATTGGGTGAGAACTACAAGGTCATCTTTTGCTGATGGCCCTGCGTGGCTCTCACTCAGGTACCAGGGCCAGTTTGGAGTTGGCTCAAAGACAAATGGAGAGAACAGTTGGGATTTCAAATTTAGGATCATCAGGTCTTTGGGGCATTTTTTTTTTTGAAGAGACAGGGTCTCACACTATGCTGCCCAGGCTGGATTCGAACTACTAGGCCCAAAGCCATCCTCCTGTGTAAACCACCTGAGTAGCTGGGACTACAGTGTGCACCACCATGCCTGGGCTTTGCAGCATGTTTAAAGGAACCTAGGTGATTTAGTCAAAAGAGAACACTGCATGAACCAAGGCCTCAGGTGCTTCTTGCTGCCTCCATTTCCACAGAGGAGAACACAGGGATTTGGGGAGATAGAAACATTTTCTAGGCAGTTATTGAACAATGAATCTTTGGAGGAGTTCGTGGAGTACTGTAACCAGAAAGTCTTTAAAATGAAACCCTTCTAGTCGTTTGTAAGTGTAGGGGAGGGACTTGGAAATCTCCGAGGCCTAATCATGCTCACAAAAGGAGTGACATTAATAGCTTTGGAGATGGTGTCTTCCTCTCCTTTCCCAGGTTATGTTCAAGCAGTAACAGCAGAGGTTCGACCCAATTCCATCGAGTCTTTAAGCTGGACCCTGGGAAATAACTGTTAGGAAAGAGGCAAGCATCCAACCCACTCGAGCTGCGGACTGACAGTCCCGCTGGGATCGTCCCATGGAGACAACTGCAAGTCTTTTGCATGAGCTAAACCCCACTCCACGTGGAATCGAAGGTGCTCATTGTCAGCTACCAGGCAACGCCATTATCACCTTTCAGCCCAAGTGCCACAGACCAACACTGGCTCTACTCCAGTGAGGTGTGGAATTCGGGTTCTTCTGCCTTCAGGTCACAACCTTTCTGACTCACCTGGGCTACACTAAACCTGAAGCTCTGTACGATGTGGAGAGCGGTGTTGCCTTCATTACAAGTGGTGCAGCATTGGATTTTCAAGTAAGTCTAAGTGTTTCTATTGTCCTTAAAATGACATATGTCCAGTTATTTTAAAAAATTACAAAATACAAATGCCCGTGTTAATTTAGCTAGTCTCAGACATTACATTCGACAACATAGAAAAGCCAAAAGATCTCCAGTTATAAGCACAAAACTAAGGAAAGTTATGGATCAATGATTTTGTCACTAATCCGTTATTTTTTTTTTTTTTTTAAAGTCACCTCCCTTTATGGCCTTGCTTGGCTGGTTTTTACATCGTGCAAGACTTGTCTGTTGGACCCTGGGGAGGCGGGGCAGGTCCTATGGTAGGATTTGTTTTTGGAAGAACAGCAGGTTTTGGCCTAAGGGCTGGAGGCTTCAGCTGCACACCCATTCTGGGTGCCACCATAGGCTTGAAAGTACTCATTGTGTCACTGGAGGAGCTAGTGCTACGTCGAATCTGAGGCTCGGAGCTCCTGAGGGCAACGTTGTGCAAAGGGCTGAGAGATTCCGTGGAAGTGGCAGGGGTGGGAGAGTTTTTCACTTGCTCCAGGGTATCCAGCACCACATCAGGGGCATGCTTTGCTGTGCTCTGTCTCTCCAGTTCTCGGAGTTCATTCAAAGCTGTGTTCATCGTTTCTTCAATATCCTATTGAAGAATAATCAGAAAGAGAGAAAGCACAGACTGATAATGAATACTAATGTATAGAAACCCAGACACTTAATTTCAAAGTAAACGGCCCGGCAGAGTATGAATATCTTTAACTCCATAGTCCGCAGAATACATAAACATAATGCCATCTCACACAATCATTTTGATTCTTGATTCAGGAGACTGAGATGCAATGGCTCACAGAGCCATGTATCAAACATTGGCCTTCCTAAGGCCCTAGGTAGCCTTCTAATGGTCTCTGACTTACATGCTGATTTTTTTTTTTTTTTTTTTTTTTTTTGAGGCAGGGTCTCACTCTGTTAGCTAGGCAGAGTGCAGTGGTGCGTATCAGCTCACTACGGTCTTGACTTCATGGGCTCATGTGATCCTCCCACCTCCTGAGTAGCTGGGACCACAGGTGTGTGCTACCTCCTGCGTAGCCTCCTGAGTAGGTGGGTCCACAGGTGTGTGCTAACACACCTGGCTAATATTTAAATTTTTTGTAGAGATGGGGTCTTACTAGTTGCCCAGGTTAGTCTTGAACTCCTGGGCTCAAGTAATCCTCCTACTTCCGCCTCCTAAAGTGCTGGGATTATAGGTGTAGGCCACCATGTCTGCCTGCTGACTTATTAATATAGAATTCTATTTCAGCTTATGATAAAAGTTTATGAAAACTTTTGAAAAACAGTTTTTCAACTTTTTTTTTTGTCCCCCCCCAGCGAGTCTCCTCCTCACTCCCCCCTTTCCCCCCCCCCCCCTCTCCCCCCCCCCCTTTTTTTTTTAAAACTTCCCTCTCTCCTCCTTTCCCCCCCCCCCCTTTCACCACCCCCCCCCTTTTTTCCCCCCCAAGACCGAGTCTTGCTCTGTCACCCAGGCTGGAGTGCAATGATGTGATCTTGGCTTACTGCAACCTCTGCCTCCCAGGTTCAAACAATTATCCTGCCTCAGCCTCCCAAGTAGCTGGGACTACAGGCCCACACCACCATGCCTGGCTAATTTTTGTATTTTTAGTAGAGACAGGGTTTCACCATGTTGGCCAGGCTGGTCTCGAACTCCTGACCTCATGATCTGCCTGCCTTGGCCTCCCAAAGTGCTGGGATTACAGGCATGAGCCACCGCACTGGGCAAGTTTTTCAACTTTTATGATAAAAGTTTAAATTAAAGAAAAAGGCAGAGTGTTGTGTGAGATGGTAGAGATCCACTGCCCTGGTGACTGAAATGTCTCTTCCCGACATATTCCCAGGGCTTCTCCCACTCATCTGGAGCATACCCCTCATGGCACGGTTTAATGGCAACTCATTTCCCTATTCATCTCCTCGACTAGACTGAATGTGAGCACTTAGAGGCTGCGGCTATTGTTTAACTTCGTTTGCATAAAACCTAGTGGGAGACCTGGCATACAGTAAATGCTCAATAAAGATTTGCTAAATGAATAATCTAAGACACTGATATTAAATCACAGTCTCCAATAATGAATAAACCAAGATACGATGATTATGTATGGATGTGGTAGTCTTTTGAAAAATCTCCATTAGGCATTCCATTAATTTGTTTAAGAAAATAATTTGCATTTTTTTAATGAACACAATGATGGCATGCTTACTTGTCCCCATGGGAAAATCTGAAGGCTAAAGATGGAAAGATAAAAAGCAAATCTGGAAGCCATTTTATGAGGGTGACATCACTTTTCAAGTAATTATTTTCATATGTGATTTCCGTTTGTGGCTAAACATATGGATTTGTTTTTTTTACAAGTATTTACCTCAGAGACATGTGCGGAGCCTAGTTATCTGTTGAGTTTTTGTTTTTACAATTTACATTTTTTTTTTTTTGAGATGGAGTCTCACTCTGTCACCTAGGCTGGAATGCAATACTGCGATCTCAGCTCACTGCAACCTCCGCCTCCTGGGTTCAAGCGATTCTTGTGTCTCAGCCACCTGAGTAACTCGGATTACAGGTGCCTGCCACCATACCCAGCTAATTTTTTGTATTTTTTGTAGAGACGGGGTGTCACTATGTTGGCCAGGCTGGTCTCAAACTCCTGACCTCAAGTGATCCATGCGCCTCAGCCTCCCAAAGTGGTGGGATTACAGGCATGAGCCACTGTGCCTGGCCTGTTTTTATAATTTACAATTAAAAAAAATTTCCTGATTCTAGAAGTCAAAGGGTTAAACAGACCTTATATGCCTTCCTACCTCCAAGCACCTAAATCCCTGTCTCTCTAACCCAAATTATGTTTCACCTGCTTATTATAAGCAGTGATGTTATAAGTGTCTCAAATCATTACATTCAGCTATAATAAAATATTGCTGGTTGTAAATATGCCTCAAAGGGCATTGCATAGCACTTTAAACAGAAAAAAATAAAACAGTCAAAGCCTTTTTGGTTTTTGCTGAGAAGTTGCTGTACATTTAAAATTGCTTTAATTTTTAAAAAACACATTAAACTTCTCACAATCTAATTTGCTATCCCAAATTCTTTTTAGTTAGAACACTGAAAATAGCTTGGACATTTGTCATATTGGGGCCGGATTCCTTGGGTGCTTTTTATTAAAAATAACCCACCTTTAATACTTTTCCATGTTTCATTCATTTCTCATTCACTCTTTTTTGAAATCTACTTAGTTTTTAAACTTCAGTGATAGCTGGAAGCTGCTTTAGATTATTTGAATGGTAAACCCTGAATCTATTCACCTCTTTTCTCACTGACTATAAACATACATATATTTGGAGACAGGGTCTTGGTCTGTCACCCTGACTAGAGTGCAGTAGGGCAATCATAACTTATTGCAGCCTCCAACTCCTGGGCTCAAGCAATCCTCTTACCTCAGCTTCCAAAGTACCTGGGACTGCAGACACGCACCACCACTCTTAGTGTGATGGTTAATACCTAGTGTCAACTTGACTGAATTGAAGGATGCAAAAGTGTATCTGTGAGGGTACTGCCAAAGGAGATTAACATTTGAGTCAGTGGGTTGGGGAAGGCAGACCTACCCCTAATCTGGATGGGCACCATCTAATCAGCTGCCAGTGAATATAAAGCAGGCAGAAGAACGTGAAAAGGTTAGACTGGCCTCGCCTCTCAGCCTACATCTTTCTCCCATACTGGATGCTTCCTTCTCTCAAACATCAGACTCCAAGTTCTTCAGTTTTGGAACTTGGACCGACTCTCCTTGCTCCTCAGCCTGCAGACGGCTTATTGTGGGACCTTGTGATTGTGTGAGTTAACACTTAATAAACTCACCTTTCTATGTATATGTATTCCATTAATTCTGTACCTCCAGAGAACCCTGACTAATACAGATTTTGGTATCAGGAATGGTTCTAGAGGAACAGAATATTAAGGATGGAGTTCTTTCATTGGTTTTGGGGCTTCTGCTTTATATGATTAGACCCAAAAATACTAAGGACTCTACTTCTAATAGGATGAAGAACACTGATAGTCCTTGGTGTGAATTGTTTAGAGAGTTATGCAAAATACATGCATTTGACACTCCTGATTCATCACTCATAAGAGGCAAGGAGTTTAGTAACTCCATACGTAATACATTTGTATGGAGTATTGTGTAGAGAACCAAGGAACATAAAGAAGCTCGTTGGTTGTTCCTAAGTTCAGTGGACAAAGTAATGAAAAACAATGATGAACTCAAGGATTCTATCTCCTGGCTTCAGAAGCAGATACTGAGCCTCAAATCTGCTAAGACTGCCCTGAGTGAGAATCTTACCTCCTGCAGAGAAAGAGCTGAAATTGTGGAAAACCAGACACAAGCTCTTATCATTAGAGTGGCTGACCTGCAATGAAAGGTGCATGCACAGCCTTGCTAGGTGTCTACTGTTAAAGCGAGGGCATTGATTGGAAAAGAGTGGGGCCCTATAACTTGGAATGGGGATGTGTGGGAGGACCCTGATGAAGCTGGGGACACGGAGCTTGTAAACTCTGATGAACCTTTTTTGCCAGAAGAAACGGCTTCCCTATCCCCAGTAGTGGCAACATCCCCTTCCCAACCCATGCTACCATCAGCCTTTCCACCTTTGTCTGAGGAGATAAACCCTGCGCTGCCTGAGGCAATGGTGATGGTCTCCCGTGAGGCAGTTGCCAGGCAAGATAATGTTGACTCTCCTCAGGAACCATCCCCAACACCTGTTTGCTTCTAGACCTATAACTAGACTAATGTCCTGGTGGGCCCTTGGTGGTGAGGTTGAGAGTGTGACCCATGAAGAGGTGCACTACGCTAGAAAAGAACTCCTTGAATTTTCTAATTTATATAAATAGGAATGTGGAGAACAGGCATGGGAATGGATATTAAGGGTGTGGGATAATGGTAGACGGAACATAGAGTCAGATCAGGCTGAATTTATTGATTTGGGCCCACTAAGTAGGAGCTCTGCATTTAATGTTGCAGCTCAGGGAGTTAAAAAAGGTTCTAATAGTTTATTTGCTTGGTTAACTGAAATGTGGATTGAAAGATGGCCCACTGTGAGTGAGCTGGAAATGCCTGATCTCCCTTGGTTAATATAGAGGAAGGGATCCAAGGGCTTAGGGAGATTGGGATGGTGGAGTGGATTAGTCACTTTAGACCTACTCATCCCAGCTGGGAGAGCCCTTGACCAATGCCTTGCAAAACAGATTTGTGAGGGCAGCACTTGCATTTTTTTTTGAGACGGAGTCTGGCTCTTTCGCCCAGGCTGGAGTGCAGTGGCACGATCTCGGCTCACTGCAAGCTCTGCCTCCTGGGTTCACGCCATTCTCCTGCCTCAGTCTCCCGAGTAGCTGGGATTACAGGCACCCACCACCATGCCTGGCTAATTTTTTATATTTTTAGTAGAGATGGGGTTTCACCATGTTAGCCAGGATGATCTCGATCTCCTGACCTTGTGATCCACCTGCCTCGGCCTCCCAAAGTGCTGGGATTACAGGCATGAGCCACCGTGCCTGGCCAGCACTTGCATCTTTGAAGAGCCCTGTAATTGCTGTTCTCTGTATGTCAGATCTAACGG